TTGAGGGGGTACTTGGGTATTTTCCCATACTAATATGATGATTTACTATTTAATATTTAATATTTAATATTAATATTTAATTTATTAAACAATTTATAAAATTTAAATGTACTATGTAACAAAACTGTAATCTAAGAATAAAATAAATAAAAGAATTCAAATATATTAAATCTGTAATGGAAAATCATTATGACTAAGTATTAAAAAATTCATACGAAAATACACCATTCAATCAAATACATTCTTAAAACGAAATTACAAATACAAAGAAAAAAATATCAAATATAGGAGCAAGTTTAGCATAAGGCTACCAACGAAAATGCAAATTGAAGTCATTCCTTTCCCTATTTTTAAGACATTCCTTTCCCCATTTTTTACTGATAATGCAAATTGAAAAAAGCTATAGCAATAAACATTCAACATTTGACCATAAAAAAAAATAAAAGTTTTGTAAGACAAGTTAACGAAAGCGACATTCAACTACATAATGGAGGGGTCTTATCATAGTTCTAATCTCGGCAAATTACAAAAATAAATACATCAAACTACGATATTCTAGTAATTGAAGTGTTATTCATCCCTATAATCACATTACGCCTTGTAATCTTGACACAAATCCTCTTTGCCTTGAAATTTTCTTCACTTTATTAAAGCTTCTCTAGTCTTCCACACACAAAAATTGTATCATGTATAAATCTTTCTATGAAAATACTATTAAAAAATTCTCATAAAAAGATTTGTATTAATAGGAAAAAAATATAGTTTTTGAATATGAAGATTCACTTACAAAGTTGAAAGGTCAAGTATTATAACAAATTAAAGACAAATATTAATTAAAAATATAAATTAACTTGGAAGATGAAACACATACATGTATCTATTCAAAGGAATAACTCTTATTTTTAATTTTTGTTCTATTTAATTTACTTACATGTATACCAATTAAATAAAAAGATTATAGAAATTCTACTATTTACTATTTAATTAATTATTTATTTAATAACATTTGAATTTAGCATAAGGGTCAAATTGTAATTGAACTTTTCTACTTTGGAGCTTCCCACTTATAATAATATATGATATAGAATATAGATATAGATGATGATGATATAAGATATATATATATATATATATATAAATATATAAGACAAGAACAAGTAAGAATTACATTTCATAATGTTTACTTAATAAAATGCTTACATATACTTTGCTCAATACATATTCTTGCAATTATAAAAAGATAATTAATGTAAAAATCTATCTGAACACATATATTGATCGTTTGTTTGTCTTTTTCAAGCAAAAAAATATAACGTTTGCCTGGCATGTTCCATAGACGAACTATAATGACCAAAATACAATTCTAAGAAATTGTAGCTAATAATATGGTAACGAATGGGGCGTTGGGATCTTCTGAACATTCAAAACATTAGCAATGCGGCCCTGAATCAACTTGAAGCGGCAAATCTCACCAGCAGCTATTTTGTTATCTTTTCAAAATTATGTCCATCCTCTTTTTATGATAGTCCTACGCTTAGTGTACTCTATTTCCCCTCCCCATCTTATTTCTTTTTCATTCACCAACCTCATATTCTTCATGTTGACTATGTTTGTCCTTTTGCCGAATCATTGGTATAGTCTAATAACTATATTATCAACCAAAACACGATCACTAGATTTTTTGGAAAATAATTTGAATATAAAGGAATGAAAACTCTAGAAAATGTAAAAATAGGATGTAAAAAATATTAAACCATACCATATAAGTAGTGTGTGTCTTTTTTATAACAATTTCAACACACGGAGTGTTATCAACTAAGTTCACCACGTTGTATCGACTGTTATTCTTTGGACCAACTTCTTCACTTCTATGATTAGCTTCTCCGGCCTCCTAATCTTCAACAAGCTTGATATAAGTATAACAACTACAATGATATGATTCCTACAAAAATGTTACGGTATATCTAAGAACACAACTTTTAAAAGTCTTATGACCACAAATTCTAAGGTTATGACATGTTTATAATCACTGGTCTCATTTAACTTTAAAACTATATGTGTCTATTAAAAATTTATGACATAAATTGAATCATGGGAGTTGCTACTTGTTTTTAGGAAAGATTAAGGATCTTATGTTGATATAAAAGTCTATCTACACTAAAAACAATCTCTTAATTATTTTAAAAAGTCTAATAAGCTTTTGGTCTTATCGGTACCAATTTTGGGTGTTTGCTCGTGCTCCTCGTAGCCTTTACTTATTTCTTGAAATAGATATCCAAATGCAATGTATTACTTCTAAATGCATTTACTTAATATCTAATACAAAGTTAAGGATATTACTTACTTTAAGACTCATCTTCTTCAAGTGTGTTAGCATTGGTTTGAAGGTTAACCAGAATATCTTCCTCAATTACATTAGCATTCATCCGAAGGTTAACGGGAATATCTTCCTTTTCTTCAAAAATTACATTAGCATTAGTTTGAAGATTCACTCGAATATCATCCTCTTCTTCCCCTTCTTGTCTTTTTCTTATTCTCTTCTCAACTAAGGGTCCATGGCTCAGATTTTCAGCAGAATGATCCAAAATATCCATAGAATTATATGGTTCAATATCTTCTATTGGATATTCAACTTTTGTCGTACTCAAACCAAATATAGATACATCAAAAGATCACGAGCATTATATGTAAAGATCCACTTTACCAGCCAAACTTTTCCTTAAGAATGATCCATTTCGACCTCCCATGTTTTTTCATGGGGAGCCTGAAGAATGAAAGGATTTAACATGTCCTTACAATGTCTCTCTGCAAATACATGTGGAATCCTTTGTATGCAAAATATATTTGAATTCAGTATCATACGACGAAGATAGAAGTAGACCTACATAATCAGTTTCATACATCTTGGAACTGACCTACAAAATTGATAGTACACTCATGTGTATAATTTAACCTACGTTAATTGTCCCAATATTAACTAAGAGATTGAACAGTAGGTCTTGTGGATTTATTACCTCCTTATCTACCTTCTTTTATCGAATAAGGCTAATTATTAAATTTTTACATGGCATAAAAGTAAGACACATGCACGCACGCACGTATGCACGTGCGTGTGCATAGTTGCACTAAAATAGAATTGGGAATCCACAAGTGAATCAAAGATTGAAAAACTGAATTAAAAACGAAAGAAGTAGGAAGTACTTACGAGAGGAATTAATTCATCCAAGGAACAAATGATTTGGAAAAACTTTGGATGAGACATCGGTTGAAATCAACTTTAAAACTTCAAACCCTTCAACTCAAATTCAAGAGAAACTTTCTATTCCTTTAAAATAAAATAAAAAACAAGAAACTGATGTCAAGGTTATGGAATAACAATAAT